ATTGCTGTACTGCAGCTAAATGCAGAAGAAAAAAGTCTAAATAATTTCCAAAGAAACAAGTGGAATAAATTAAAACTCACCTCAGGGTTTCACCTCCTCCATGAAGCCATCTTTAAGCAAAAGAGGTCCCTAAATGTCTTGTTCACATCGTTGGCACTGGAACTACCATGTTTTATAATAACCACCTTGTTTATATGATTTTTCCATCAGACTGAATTCCTTCAGAATAAAGTCAGTACACTGCTGACCTTTATATCCATACCACCAAAGACAATGCTTGGCACATAACAGATGTTCTGTAGTTTCAGAGTGGACAAATAAACGGATTTAAACCAAATCAAATACCATTTTAATGCTGTTCCTTTTAACATCCTTAGGTTTAATATTAATGACAATTATGGACTTCTATTTTTTTTCTTCCTTTAGGAGTTCTGTTATGTTTTTAATGTATACATTTCAAGGTAGTTAAACTTTGTTTTTAAATAACGTATGCTGGCTCTAGAAATTTTGAAAAAAATATGAAGAAATCAAACTTCACATTTTACTAGTATATAGGAATAAAATTCTAATTTTACTTTATTATAGATAATATCATGATGAACATAATCACAGGTTTTCTATCTTTGCCTTCTTTAAATTCTCTTACTTTATTACTTAAGATTGAGCCAGGAGAAAAAGATGCTAATATCTATTTGAAACTAAGTTCCAAGCACTTTATATATATTAGCTCATTAAGTACACAACCATGAAAGGTATTACTACCTTAAGTTTATGGGTGAAGAAATAAATACTTCAGTTTTAGAGTTTTTAGAAAAACTTTTCAGATCACTTTCTTCATCCATCATCTCACTTAACCTTTATAATAACCCTGTAAAGCATGTGTGTGTGCGTGCGTATGTGTGTGCATGTGTACACGCATGTAAGAGTGTCTGTGTGTCTGTCTTTGGGGGTTGATTATATATCTAGTAGTTAATTAACTTTCCCTTCTCTTTTCCCTAGCTCTGCAGTAAGCTCCTCTCTTTTAAGGACAATGTTCTCTACCTCTTTGAAAGTTGGTGTGCCTAGCACAGTGACAGACACATGGGGCCTTTAATAGAGACTTCCTGATTGGTGTTAGCATGCAGTGCAGTTATGGGATCAGGTCCTACTCACCTTGCTCTTTCTCTGATGACATCTTTTAAAAATGGAGGTAAAGTACATAAAGTGAAATGTACAAATCTTAAGCGTACATTTCATGAGATTTGACATATGCATATACCCGTAACTCACACTTTAACACTATAGAACATTTCTATCACTCCATAAATTTTACATGTGCTCCTTCCCAGGCAATCCTTCCAGTCAAATTAAAAGGCTAATTTCTAAAAGCCATGCTATTTTCTTACTGTTTTATATCTACACTCTTTGTCTTGGAGAATCCACTCTCACTGCATCAGCTGACATCTACATGAGGATGGCTGCCCAGTCCTGATCTCACTGAACACTAAACTTTCTGTTTTCCGGTTGCTCCTAGACATTTTCCGTCCTGAAGGTTACCACTTCAAACTTAATAAAATGTGTTCAAAACTGAATCTTTTTTTTTTTTCTTTTTTTTTTGAGACAGAGTCTTGCTCTGTCGCCAGGCTGGAGCACAATGGTGCAATCTCAGCTCACTAAAACCTCTGCCTCCTGGGTTCAAGCGATTCTCCTGTCTCAGCCTCCCAAGTAGCTGGAATTAAAGGCACATGCCACCACACCCAGCTAATTTATGTATTTTTAGTAGAGAAAGGGTTTCACCATATTGGTCAGGATGGTCTTGATCTCTTGACCTTGCGATTTGCCCACCTCAGCCTCCCAAAGTGCTGGTATTACAGGTGTGAGCCACTACACCACTATGCCCAAACTGAATCTTACACCCCAAACTAGCTTCATTTATAAGCTTATTTATTTCTGGCACCAATGCTTGAAACCTTAGAATCATTTTTAAATTGCTTTCTTCTTTTCTCTAATAAGCTTTATTGCTTTTTCTTCTCCCACCTCCCATTCCCATTGCTAATATCTATCCTTCAAAGTCCAGCTCATATTCCATGTCTTTGACCAAAGTCTTTCCTAACCACTGCTCATGAGCTCACCATTATATGAATTTAAAGACTAGTATGTCTGTACAATTTATTAGAACTTATTACATATGACCTAATGATATCTCTTCCATTAGCTATTTTTTTGAATCCTGTTTAATATTTTATGCATTTGCAATCCTCCAGGTTAACCCTACATTATGCACTGGGGCTCAATTTGTACTAATAAAATGATTGGTTTGCCTAAAGTCACATAGCTAGTTGGTGGCATGGCAGGGACCAGAACCAGCACTATTTCCTTACTGATGCAGATATATTATGTGTGGAGCTAACAAAATATTGCTTGATTATCCCTCTAACTTTAGTTGTTGGTAACAAAACATCAATAGTTCATGTTCTGAAAGAATATGAATAGTTGGCTTCTTATTCCACTAAGAATATGGACTTCTTAGTCCATAAAGACTAAGAATAGTCTTTATTCTTAAAGACTAATAGCAGACTTCATGTGTAGTCTTTCTTTATAGGCCCTACCATTCAGTTAGTTTTGTTCAATTATAACAACAGAACCAGCAGTAGTTCTTCAAGGTAGCATAGTGCAGTGAGTAAGACAGGTGTAGAGCCAGGGCAAGTAACTTTTTCTCTCTGTGCCTCAGTGCTGTCATCTTTAAAATGGGAATAATAATACTATCTACCTCAAAGGGTTGTTAGGAGGATGAAATGAATCACTATTTGTAAAGATCCTAAAACATCTACCACTAAGTGCAACAAAATTTGTTTTATTGAAAAAATATAACAAGTATTTGGTACTTAAGTTTACAAATTAGTTTCACCTTTGATCAACACATCTATCCAGTAATTAGAGCTGGTGTTATTCACAAAAAGCAAGCTAAGAAGCAAATATTTTCAGTGGCAATTTGCCTAATGCCTGGCTAAGCACATGGCAGAACCTGGTACTTGAACCCAGAATGTGCAACTCCAAATCGAACAGCTTTCTGCTTTGCTGATTGGGGTAGTGCTTTGTTCACCTGTTTGGTCGTTGATAAGTATCAGTGTGTGCAACACCTGTGTCTACCCACACACTGGAAGATAAATTGATTGATTCTCCTATTAGTGACATCGTTGCAGTCTAAGTGGGCTTGTCAGCAACTACTACCAAGTAGGAGAGACAATAATGTGAAGAGGTAAGAAGTCGGGAATGAGGATGAGTAAACATAGAAAAAACTAGCTCAATTATATTTACAGATATGTTTCTTGCTGTATTGCTCAATAAGATAAAGATTATTTTGAGTTTCCAGTGTGAGAGATCTTTCCATAGTCGAATTTGCATGCTAGGCCTTCAATTAGATTTTAAGACCCTCAGAGGCAGTTTGAAAAACTGCTGCACCACTAAATCAAGGACTTCTTCCAAAGTGAAGGCTCCTCCATCCAAGCTCAAGATTCAAAGGGCTCAAGGTTCAAAGCCAGTAGAAAGTTTTCTTATTGAAGACTGAAACCACCCACCACCTTCCCTGGTTAATCATAAAAGAAGCGTTATTCTAAAAAAACTCCAGTTCTTGCTGGGACAGCTATTGACCCAATTTGTATACAAATGTGACACTTTGAACCTCTCTGGTTTAGTATTTGATAGCCCAACAGGGTGACTATATTCAATAATGATTCAGGCTGGGTGCAGTGGCTCCAACCTGTAATCCCAGCACTTTGAGAGGCCAAGGCGGGAGAATCAGTTGAGCCCAGGAGACTGAGACCACCCTGGGCAACACAGTGAGACACGTTTCTAGAAAAAAATAGAAAAAAGTCAGCCAGATGCGCGCCTGTAGTCCCAGCTACCCAGGACCTGAGGTGGGAGGATTGCTTGACTCGGGGTTGGAGGCTGCAGTGAACCATGTTCCCACCACTGCACTCTAGCCTGGGAGACAGAATGATACCCTGTCTCAAAACAAACAAACAAACAAACAAACAAAAAAACACTTGTACATTTAAAAATAACTAAAAGAGTAACTGGATTGTGGTTGAATGCTTGTGGTGATGAATATCTCATTTACCCTGATGTAATTATCACACATTATACACCTGTATCAAAATAGCTCATATACCCCATAAACATACACTCCTACTATGTACCCACAAAAATTAAAAATTAAAAAAGAAAAAGTCTCTTTGGTTCACTCAGTCCACCATCCGTATTAGAATGTAAGACAGTTTTTTTTCCTTGGGAAAAGTGTCCGACAGAACCAAGGCTCGGTAAAGGATAGTAATAATGTAATAATATTAACAAACATCTACTGAGCTTTAAATATGTGGCAGGCACGGTGCTGTGCACTTTATATGCATTATCCAAATTTACTCTCAGTAATTCCAGGAGTTCCTATTACCGGGGTCTACGTAAGAGGAAATGGTGGTTGACGGCAATTTCCGAATGCCCCACACTAGAAAGTGGACCAGCAACCAGGGTTGCAGATCCCAAGTCCGGAATCTTCACCATTTCACCCAACCGCCTTAGAGGCCTCCCAGCAAAGGGTCTAAGCACAAATGCTCCAGAAAACAAGTCCAGGTCACGCGTGCCTTCTCCCCTTCCCTCTGGGCTCGATACTGGTGCACAGAGCGACTCGGGAGTGGGGGTCGCGGTTACTTCATTAGAAAAGCTCTGAAGCCCCGGGAGCCCTTAGTCCCAGGCGCACTTGCCCTGCAAACCCTTCTGGAAGGCGGCAGCGTCCAGGCGGTCCAGCGCGTCGAGCCGCGCCAGGCGCACCGAGATGCCCCCGAATCTGTCCAGCTCGCCCTGCAGATCGCACTTTCCAACTGGGGGATTCCGCACGTAACCCTGTGCGCCCGAGGCCCCGCGGTAACCCGCCGAAGGCCCAGGGCTGTACGTTCGGGCAAGCACCGCGCGCCAGCCGGCCCAGCTCAGTAGCGGCCGCATCTTCACGCTGCCTCGCCCAAAGGACCCTTCCGCTCGCCGGAGCGGAGATCGCGGCCGTACATTTTAGAAGAGTGTCATCAATTCCCTCAGAGTTGAGCTGGGGTTATCACTCTGCAGAGCCAAGCCAAGACTGCGAAGTCGTCCACCAGCCCCTCTCAGCAATTTGTCCCACTCCAGTTAAGCGGGGAAAACCTCCTCCCCCACCGCCACCCACTTATTTTGTTTGGTAGTGTAATTCAATAGACGTTGGTTTAGGAATGGGGAAGCCGGGAGGAGATGCAAAAACGTCCTGTTTTTTAGGAATTTACAATCTAAGTGGCAGTTCCGTTCCCGGAACCTATCGTCTTTCGCAGACGCCGTTCCAGCTGTTCCAAAGATTGCTGGTTTTGAAAACACTCAGTCCCTCCCACCACGCTGTCCGCTGCTGCGCTCCACTCTGGGGATTACGGCGCAGGGGCGGAACCTCGCTGACTTCTGCCCCGGAAGTTTTTCTCTCAGTGGAAGCGCGCACGTTGAGTCGGCTTTTCTACTGCATCGGCCAGGCTACCTTGGGATCATGTCTTCCAAGAAGAACAGAAAGCGGCTGAACCAAAGCGCGGAAAATGGTTCGCCCTTGCCCTCTGCTGCTTCCTCTTGTGCGGTGGCACGGGCTCCTTCTGCTGGATCAGATTTAGCGGCAGCCGCCGGGACTCTGACGGTGACCAACTTCTTAGAAAAGGGTAAAGAACTCCGGGAGGGAGACTAGAGGCCGAGGGGCGCAACCTGAGGGGAGGGAGACTCAGTGATACTGACTTGGGGTGCAGAGACTTTTGAAATTTGGGCGTGGCATGGGTCTGAATGCGGCACCAAAGAGTGTAAGACTTCTGTATGCAAGAAGCATGCAAACGTAGCCGCGCCTGCACTGGAGAAGTTAGGCTGAAATGGTTTATCCGTATCCAAAGTGTCTCTTGTAAATTAATTTGATTTTTTAAGTTGCGCTTGAAACGCTTTGTCTCCTTTAACATTAACGACATATTTAATTGCAAAATTTTTCGTAACTAGCTAACATGGGATACTTATCCTAAAAAACTAAATAACCAATAAAGTAAAAATGTGGATCACTCTGCCTTTAGGAGTGATGACATAGCATTTTCTTCCAGTACTACACAGGTTATGATATTTAATAACTGCTAGTAACTGCACACTGGTGTTAGCAGTATATATAGCTCATCTAATTTCTACAGAAGCCGTGACCGATGGGTATAGTAATGACCGTTTTATAGAGGAAGGAAAGGCAACGTGATTCCATTCAGGCTACACAGGTACTAAGAGGCAGAGCTGATATTTGAGTCCAGATGTGTTTGACTTCAAAGCCATTGTCCCAGATGACAGCTCCCTTGATTTGGGAGAACAAATTTATACTTAAAAGTCTTATAAATTGAATTATAAATTGAAATTTTATATTTGATGTGTAATAGCTTTGAACAATGGACCAGATTAAACTAGTGGCAACATTTTTTATGTCTAATCAGACCTTAAAGACGATTTAGAGTTCACATGGTATTTTCACTCTTCCTTAGGTATGGGAGGACAACTTGTTCTGTCGTGAAGGTTCAACTTGTTTTTGAACTAGATCCTTCCCATTGACATCTAAACATGCTCATTTCTCTTCCACTTTAAATCAGAACAAAAGCTCCACATTTTCTTCCTGCAACCATCTCTCTGTCCATTGCCAAACTTCTAAAATGGAGTGGTGGTCTCTGCCGCCTCATCACTTACATACTCTCCTTAGCCTATTCCTCTTTGACTTCCACCCCGTGATTCCATGGAAACTGTTCCTGGTGTGGTCTCCGAGCATCTCCATGTTGATAAACCTTACTTGACCACAGCAACTTTTGGTATTTTTGACCATTTCCTCTTCTTGAAACACTTAACTTCTTATTTGTTGTCAAACTTGCCTAGTTTTCTTCATCTTTGTTGATGTTTCATCATTTTCCTTTGCAGGCTCGTCCTCTTCCCTTGACCATTAAATGTTGAAGTTTGTCAATTCTTAGTCCAAAACCTTTTTTTCCTCTCAGTAAATCCTCTCTCCCTAGCAAGTTCATCCAGTGACCAGAGTTTCTCATCCATAGTCTCTTCAGTGTCAGATTTATATTTGTAAATCTTTTGTTTTTGCACCTTGATATAGTTGTCTTTTAGCCAAGTGCTTCTCAAGCTCTCTGTGGTGAAGACTTTAACATTTACAATAGGTCACAGGTCGGCATTTTTGTAAAATACAGTCAAAATGATTTTCTAGAAAAATAAGGAAAAAATTTTATTAAACAGATGTGAAATTATTCTGCAAATTTCAATAAAAGCTTCTAAACACTTATTCTCATGTTTTGCACTTGTCATGAAGCACTGACAAATTGTTGTGGGCCATATTTTGAATATGGTGCTGTACAATCACTCTTCTCATGAGTGTCTCAAAGATACTTCGGGACTAACTTCATGAGCCCGCATTTCCTCCAACAAAACAAACTTTCATTTTGTTCAGTTTTTTGCATTGCAAAATTCAGAAATGTAAGAGTCATCCATGACTCTCCCCCCCATATCTCACATACCTAGTTCACCACTAAATCATGTTTATTACCTAAATATTTTACATATTCCTCTTCTGCATGCCATTCCCACTGTTTCTACCTTAATTTCAGATGCCATCATCTCTCACCTGGACTGCTACAACAGCCTTTTAGTTGATTTTCCTGCTTCCAGTTTTGCCCCTTACTCGTTTTCTGTTCTACAGCCAGAATGATCTTGTAAGATGCAGATCTTGTCATGACATTGGTTTTCATCCCTTTCTGAACTCCCATTGCTGTCAGAGTAATGACCAGCATCTTAATGCAGCCTGTTGCACTATTGTCCTGGGTGGTCTTGACCTTCTTTACATAGCTTCCCTATGTTTCCACCACTCTGTCTATACTCTCCTGAGGATGCGCCATACCACCTTCTGCCCAGGAACTTTGTACATGCTGTCTTCTTTGCTGAGAATTATCGTTTTCTTCTCTTCATTTAGTTAGTTCCTACTCTTCTTTCAGACCTGATTTTAATATCACTTCCTTTGAGAAACATTCTCATATTTGAAATCAGGTCAGATCCCACATTATAGGCTCTCCTGGCACTCTAAGTCATTTTTTCATTGTATTAATCTTAGTTTATAATTTTACAGCTATTCACTGATTGCTTAATAACTCACTCATCCTACAAGGCTATAAGGTCTGTGAGACCAAGGACTTGTGAACAAAAGTGCCTAGCATAGTATCTGCCATATAGTAGGCACGTAGTACTTATTTGCCGAATGAATAAATGAAGGGTGGATGGTTGTTTGAAATTATCTTTACTATCTTGTTAATCTGATACTTAAGGTGCTCAATCAATGTGAAAGTAGTCAATGGGGAAATTAGATGTTGACATATTTTTAAAGTATTGAAGGAGTGAGGTGAGAAGGGAACTCTGTGGACAACTTGAGTAGACCTGTGTAGTGTAAGCAGAGAACACAGTGGTGATGTTTTGGAAAATGAGACCGGTGGATGGGAATTTGAACATGATTACCCTTGAAAGAGAAGGTGGAGAATAAATCCTGGGGCATGGAGAATGTGCCGGATAGGGTGGAAGGAGAAGTAGAAAACTAAGGTCTTGGGAAGGACTGAGAACACTTGTGTGGTAATTGTCAAGAGGGAAAGGTAGTTCATTGAGGTTTGGGAAGAAAGAGGCAGGAACTGAATATTATGAGATCATCTAATGGCAGTATGCTTTGCTGTTAATGACCAGCAAACTATATAAGATACCTAATGCTCATTGGAAGATTGAATTTCTGTCCAGCTTCTCATATTATGCAGTATGTGTTAATTTCATTTTATACTCAGTGCTGTTCATCTTAGCTTTATGAGATGCTTTGTTTTTCTAGATTTGCACCTCTTGTAAGAAGAAAAAGAAACGTGTTGGGGAGTTATTTTGTAGTGACAGAATAACGTAAATCATATTTGTACCTTATGGTTTTGCTTTCATTGCTTTAATTTCTTTTTTATTACAAAATATGTTTTCTGATTATTAAGGAAAACTTAGGTAGATCTCTGTGATTATGGTATATATGTTTACAATAAATTTTATAATGAAGTTGTGACATTTTTAAATTACTTAAGTGTTTCATGGATTTTGTGCTGAAAAGAAAAACATTGTATACTCATTTACTACATTTATTCATTTTATGGCCATTTATTGTGCAACTGCTACATTTAATGCACTGTAAGCATTGGAGATACAGAGAGAAATAGGACCCAATTCCTGCTTCAAAGCAGTATACAATTAAGGAGAAAGACTAAAACAAATGAATATCATGATAAATGCTATTAACTGGCAGCACAGAGTGCTGGGGGAATTAGAGGAGGGACACCTAGCTAAATATGGAGCTTGGTGGAGGTGGGGTGGATAGGAAGGAGTGGAGATGTCAGCACATCATTTTCAGAGGTGTTGTTAACTGGACTGAATTCTGGACCCCCTTTTTCAGCCAAAAGTTGAAATCACTAGTGGTGATTTCAGTCAGTGTGTTTGTATAAGGAAGACGACTTGTGTTACTATCTTTGTCTATTCTTGGTAATACAGAAGAAAAAGATCTGGCGATGACCATAATGTGGGGCAGAAGTAGAAACATAACTTAATCCTCTAGAGCCAGATAGATGTTCCAGTTCCCAGTTCAATCCTTTGAATACTAGTAGCTGACTCAACTTTGAACTTAAAGCTCTGAGACTCTCTTTTGCAATTATGTTTAGTTCTTAAAGAAATTAGAGACTCAGAAAAAAGGAAACCAATGCTCACCCCATAAAACATCTTGTTTTTAGTTAATACTTAATATGTTGCCAGTAGACCCTCAAAAGCATTTGGTTTTAAATCTGTTTGTTATAACAAAAGTTGGAACACTAGTTTCTCCAGGGTATGATAAGTACATTCATGTGGTTATATGGTTAGAGTATTTTTATTTACTGCAAAAGAAAGCATGCTTTAACTTCTGTTACAAAGTAGTAAAAAATAATTTTCTTTTCCTTCATAGTAGATGACAGAATTCCTAAAACATTCCAGAATTCCCTTATTCATCTTGGACTCAACACTATGAAGTCTGCAAATATATGTATAGGTCGACCAGTGTTGCTTACTAGTTTGAACGGAAAGCAAGAGGTAAGAGTCTTTTGCATTTCCTTAGTTTAGAAATAAAGACTGAACATTGCAAATCCAAAAATCTAAACTCTGTAATGCTTTTGAGTGCTGTGGTGGTCAAAGGAAATGCTCATTGGAACATTTTGGATTTCAGATTTGGGATGCTTAGCCAGTAAACATAAGGCAAATATTCCAAAATCGAAAATTGAAAATGCGTCTGGTCCTAAGCATTTTGGATAAGGGATGCTCAACCTGTGTTTGAGATGTTTCTGATTTTAATTTTCAACACAAGCAGGAATAAATGAAAAACTATATTTTAAAAGACATTAATGTGTGTATTAACTCTCTGTTCCTTTGCTGTCTATGACTCTGCTGGGCATAGTAACCCCTAAAATGTTATGTAGAGAGAAGTGTTTCCTCCGGCAGTAGTGACAGTATTTCTCCCAGTCAGTTAGTTATATTTCTTTATAAAAATATTATTTTGGGGTAAGAAGGTCACCTGTTCTGTATATAAATATTTTACTATTCTCCCTGGTTTCAGCTGTTTCTCCTTGCTGTCATTCTTCATACCTGAGATTCTCAGCCTAGAACCTTTCCTGGATCATTTTTGGCAGCTTGGCTTTCTCCTCTGCTACCAGCCCCTTATCTTTCCTGGCTTCCTTTGATGCTTCTCTGATCTGCTGGGGATCCTCTGGAAATACTTTGAATTTTTTTTGTCTGCTGATGGCCCCTCTTATTCTTTTCCTTTTTCTGGCTTATGCTTTAAAGTTCCTTTACTGTGTCTTGTAAAAGAGAGGACTATAAGTGTGTGAGCTGAAGCTAGAAATTTTTGCTCCCCCCTCTTAACGTTTAAATTTGATAAGACCCAGGTTCTGACAAAGCTCTTGTTTTGTGTCCCTCACTATGTCCTGGATGTAGTTTAATTTCCAGGCTGAATTACTTTACAAGTTATCTTGCCTTAATATTTTTGTCATTTCCTCATTATCACCTGTTAATGCCTTTGTCTTTTTTCATATATCTTTCATATCTTCTACTGTCTTCACTGTGGGATCATTCTTGCTCTTTAGAAAAAGATGTAATATTATTAAAAAGTTTATTTTTCATGAGCCCTTATAGTATTTAAATTTTTAAAAAAATGCAATTTATCTTACTGCAATTGGTATCAGATTATAACTCTTTTTGGGTAAAGACTGTATTTTGCATATCTAAGTACTTGACTGTCCTTAGCATTCTACCTTGTAAATTGATGGTATTCTATGAATATTTATTTTCTAACATTTTTATTTCCTCTGTCTGGCAGGTCTATACAGCGTGGCCTATGGCAGGATTTCCTGGAGGCAAGGTTGGCCTGAGTGAAATGGCACAGAAGAATGTGGGTGTGAGGCCTGGTGATGCCATCCAAGTCCAGCCTCTTGTGGGTGCTGTGCTACAGGCTGAGGAAATGGATGTGGCACTGAGGTTTGGCTCTTTTCTTTGGTGACTATCTGGATCAAAGCTGCCCAGTAGAAATATAAGAGTCACAAATGTAAACCACATAAGTAATTTTGCATTTTCTTGTAACATTTTAAAAAGAGAGAAACAGGTACAATGAATTATAATAGTATGTTTTATTTAACCAATATATGTAAAAATGTATTTTAACATGTAATTATAAAAAATTACCAATAAGGGCTGGGTGCGGAGGCTTATGCCTGTAATCCCAGCACTTTGGGAGCCCGAAGTGGGTGGATCACTTGAGCTCAGGAGTTCAAGACTAACCTGAGCAATATGGGGAAGCCCTGTCTCTACAAAAAATACAAAAAATAAAATTTCTAGGCATGGTGGTGTGTACCTGTAGTCCCAGCTATTTGGGAGGTGGAGACAGGAGGATTGCTTAAGTCTGGGAGGTGGAGGTTGCAGTGAGCTGGGATTGCACCACTGCACTCTAGCCTGCGTGAAAGAGTGAGACTGTGTCTCAAAAAAAAAAAAAGTTACCAATAAGATATTTTACATCCTTTTTTTCAAACTAAGTCTTCAAAATCCAGTGTGTGTTACACTTATAGCACATCACAGTTGAGACTAGCCCCATTTTAAGCATTTGATAGCTACGTGTGCTGAGTGGCTAGTGGTCACTTGTGTTGTATTAGACAACCCAAGCTGAATGAGTGCTATATAATTTATAGACTAAGGACTTTTATTTTCCATGATTAGAGTATGCCCTGATATTTTAGGTGAGAGTAATTTTCATTGATGAATATTTAGCAGTGTTTTTCACCTTGACTTGCAATGTAATCAGGGCTTCTTACAGTTGTAAAGAAAAGAGTAGATTACTGTGAGTCAAACAGAAACAAGTTTTAATTAAGACTATGCAAGCAAAGAACTTGACTGTATATTTTAACTTGTTGATTATTCAATTTAGTAAAACAAACGGTCGTTACTATCAGATTTTAAAATAATCCCTCACCACAGGCTAATTGTTTGAATCTGCCTATCAAGATAGTTAAGGTATATCATCCATCCTCCTGGATATTCTGTATCTAATAGGATTTCGACTCGGTTTGCATATAGAAGTCTTATCAAAAGCCATTTACAAAAAGCATCTTTTTATACTTTAATGTCACCTTAGTAATAGCTTGGGGGATGTGTTTACATTATATGTGAGAACTACAAACCATTTTCTAGTTATCAGCTTGATTTTAATATGTTTTCTTCTCTTTTGCTACTATTGTAGATTTTAGACTTGAGTTTTGGCATATTTTTTCCTTTATAACAGGAAAATGTTTTCAGAGCTTATAGTAACAGTTTAATTAATAATAAAAGGCAGAAGGGACAGGAGACAGTATGTTGACTACCAGCTGTATACAGAAGCTTTGTATATATTGCACGTATGTATACACACACACACATTTACCCTTCCCTTTTTAAACAGGTGAAATAGCTTAATGAGAAGTAACTTGCCTAATATTTTATGAGGTAGTTAATAGTACTGTTCAGATTAAACTGGATTATTCCTCAGACTATGTCTTAAAACAGTGCTACAGGTAGCAGTAATTCGTTGACTGGAATTAGCATTTATGATGACCTACAAACTAATCAGACCTCTTGAGTGCACACCAGTCTTAGGTGAGTAATGATTGCTTATTATAGAGGACTGTATATGTTTTAAATGAAAACTCAGGTTTGAAAATTTTGTTTTAAAAAATCTTATGTTTTAAATGTGGCAGCAGAGTATAGACAAGAAAGTTAATTTCCAATTGGGAAAATCAGTCATTTTAGTCTGCTTAAATCCTTCAGTTGCAACTGAAAGATTTTATAATTAATAGTAATGTTAGAGCTCCTTCTAGTGGAAATTGTTTTATGTGCAACTATTATTTTTTTAAAAGCAAAATTGGTTTGATATTTTTACTGTTCTTACATGTATTTATAAATACCTTCTATTCAGAGTTTAACAAAAGCAATTTAAGTATAACTTGGTTTAGAGTTCCATAAACAAAAGTAAATGTACGCATTTAAGGAGATACATGCAATTTTCTCATTAGTTTAGACATATGTTTGATTCATGAAATTTCCCCCCATTCTATTTCTTGCTCTTTCTTTTATATGAATATGTAGTTGATTCTCATTATTTATGGTTAGTTATGTTCTATCAAAGCTGCCTTGAACACCGTTAGCAAATACTGAGACATTTCTCCTAGAGGGAAATACGTATGTATGTGTATATACATACATGCAACACACACACACATAATATATGTAGTGTATATATATAATATAATATAATACATACATACACATACATTTTACATAGATTGTAATCTTAAAACTCCAAAATAATTCATTCTGGTAGATTTTCTTTTCTTTATTTTACAAAAGAGAAGAGGAGATTTAGAAGTGTTAAGGGACTTGCCTGAGGCTGCCCCACTACAGGTGCTAGTGTTGGGATTCAAACTCCCTCCAACTGGCCCCAGGCCTGGAGCTTCTTCACTACACTGCTGTGTCCCCTATCACTTCCATTCTCTGGTCATCTCTGAATGAGAGCTGAAACAGCGCGGAGAGTCACCTTATTCTATGTGGTAACATGGGTGTTGGGTAACCCAAATTTTTTGCTGCTCTTCCGTGTCACTAATGACCACAAATGCTTTGTGAGTATTGATTTTGGGGTACATATAAATTTTTGGGAGTTGGTAAATTTCCATATACAGCGTCCACAGGTATTGAGGATTGACTATATTGTATTATTACTGATAAAAGTGATTGGAAGCCAGGCACAGTGGCTCACGCCTGTAATCCCAGCACTTTGGGAGGCTGAGGTGGGTGGATCGCCTGAACTTAGGGGTTCGAGACCAGCCTGGCAACATGGTGAAACACTGTCTCTATAAAATGTGTATATATGTAAAAATTAGCTGGCCGTGGTGGTGAGCACCTGTGTTCCCAGCTACTCTGGGGGCTGAGGTAGGAGGATCACTTGAGCCTGTGAGGTGGAGGTTGCAGTGAGCTGAGATCATACCACCACACTCCAGCCTGGGTGACAAGAGTGAGACCTCATCTCCAAAAAAAAAAAAATAAAAGTGGAGAACAAGGTTATTTTGACCAGATGGGCACACAGGCACATGCCACCACGTCTGGCTAATTTTCTTTTGTATTTTTTGTAGAGGTAAGTTTTTGCCATGTTGCCCAGGCTGGTTTTGAACTCCTGAGCTCAGGCGGTCCACCCACCTCAGCCTCCCAAAGTGCTGGGATTACAGGCATGAGCCACCATGCTCAGCTTCCAGTCACTTACACTTCCCCTTGGGCTAGACTGCCCCCGCTCCACTGGTCACTGACAGAACTAGACAGCCATTTGTCTCCCCTCCTGATACGGGCTGCTTATGCACAGAGGAGGAGGAAAAATGCTCTTGTTCTGAGAACTCTCCAAGAGCAGATTTCTTTATAAATGTATGATATTTAGGTGTGTTCACTTCCTGCACTTAAGCAGCTCTCTGGGGAGACACAGTTATCATTAGGAAGGAGGGGATCTCATTTTTCCTCGGTCATGCCCTGTCTCCAGAAAAAACCTCCATTGTAACCGTTACTCCCCTTTTTCCTACTTCTGCCTCTTCAAGTAACATACTGTATAGGAATTAATTTTCTTGAAGAAATAATTTGTAAGTTATACTAAGAGAATGAAGTAAGTTATTAATAAGAGCCTTTTCTCCAAGCTAGGCAACTTTATAAAGGGAATTATTAGTTTAGGTCAGCATTTTAAAAATGTTTTTGACTATGACTCTTTATAAAACATGGATTTTTTCATCAGATTCTTTGTATATACACATCCATAGATACAGTGCTCATATACGTGCATATGTGTATGTATGTGTTAGAAGCTAATGTTTTACAAAGCAGTATTTACCCTTTCTATATTCAGTGTACCCTGCATTTCTTATTCTATTAACAAAGTGCTGAATGGGGCTGACTGAAATGATTTCATTACCCTTGTGTTTTGAAGAACATTGGTTTATGCCACTAAGGCAACAGATTCCAAATGATATTTTCATGGCTATATGTTTCTGAAAAATGTCCATCATTTCAAAATTGTATACATTATTTAAGGTTGCAGGTGGATTATTCTTTTGATTAAGTCTATATTATAACTATATACATGTAATTTTATACCAGTTTAGTTTCTGATGTACCTAATGCTGATTTCTGTCCCCTTCTCATTCTTTTAACAGTGACAAAGATATGGAAATTAATGAAGAAGAACTGACTGGTTGTATTCTGAGAAAACTAGGTGAGACAAATATTTTAAATTGTTTTCTTAAGTTTTAAGCTGCAAGGCATCAGCAAATAAAGTGTCCTTGAGGGCTTATAAGTGCACAGTAGTTTTCTTCAAAATAGCTTTGAGAATCTTCCCCTTAATGAATGAATATACTTTTAAGACAGGGATGTATTACTTTTCCTGGTTAATTGGCAGTTGAGCAGTGGAAAGAATATATGACTTGTCTGTGGAAAGAGTCAGTGGTAGAATTGAGACTGTTCTTGCCCTTTCCAGTGAGAGATGCTATCTTGGAGTGTTGGTTTGGGTGTGCCATTTTCATTTAGTTTATTACTGAATATGGAATGCCTGGCTATTTGTTGATATGGTTGCTAGAATCTGAGATCTACTGAGTGTGGAGGATTTCAAAGAATCATCTTTTCCTTCTATCTCCAGATGGTGCTATATTATAGGGGAATATTAGGTCCTCAATATTTTATGACAATTATTTTATTAATACTCTGCCTTTGATTTAGTCTTTTCAGTCAGTTAGTAGATGAAATATATTGCTATTTAAACATTAAACTGGTAACAAAAATTATGCTAACATGTATATTTAATAAATTATTTTCTAGATGGCAAGATCGTTTTACCAGGCAACTTTCTGTATTGTACATTCTATGGACGACCGTACAAGCTGCAAGTACTGCGAGTGAAAGGGGCAGATGGCATGACATTGGGAGGACCTCAGAGTGACTTTGACACTGATGCCCAAAGAATGGCCTTTGAACAGTCCAGCATGGAAACCAGTAGCCTGGAATTATCCTTACAGCTAAGCCAGTTAGATCTGGAGGATACCCGGATCTCAACATCAGGAAGTACTCCTTGTAAACCAGTTGATGACAGAATTACAAATAAAGCCAGTGATGTTTTGGATGTTACACAGAGCCCTGGAGATGGCAGTGGACTTATGCTAGAGGAAGTCGCAGGTGTTAAATGTAGTTTTGAATCTGCCAGAGAAGGAAATGAGCAACTTACCGAAGAAGAGAGACTGCTAAAGTTCAGCATAGGAGCAAAGTGCAGTACTGATACTTTTTATTTTATTTCTTCAACAACAAGAGTCAATTTTACAGAGATTGATAAAAATTCAAAAGAGCAAGACAACCAATTCAAAGTAACTTATGACATGATAGGAGGCTTAAGTAGCCAGCTGAAAGCAATTAGAGAGATAATTGAATTGCCCCTCAAACAGCCTGAGCTTTTCAAGAGTTATGGTATGATATCTTCAGTTTATTGCACCCAAAAATGTTAAATTCAAATTAAAAGATAGTTGACACTTATCTAGTGATTGCTCATCCTCTTCCTGTTTTTATTTTCTGAGTAGTGGGTGTGTTAGAAGATGTCAGTTGCTTTGGGAGATGCCAGTTAAATGGGCCATTTTCTATGCCTTGGTATTTTTAGGTTGTAATGTGAATTAGTGACAGCCTTGTCTCTTCTAATAGCGTATTTCCACAATTACCTGTATTGGATCTAGAATAAGTATCTTGTCATGCTGGGTCATCTGTAATGACTGAAGAAATAAACCATTCAAATACATTAGATAAAACTTCTTTGTTAGGAAATGTAGCTGTGTACCCATCTTTTTGCACTGAAGCAGGTAATTAAGGGAATGGCTTGACTCAGGAAGCTCAGGGCTTCCGCTGCCTTGTTATTGCCAAGATCCTTTGCATATATTTGGTGTGTCTGATCTCTCTGCTTTTTCCTTTCTCATGAATCTTATATATACATACGTGTATGTATATATATGTATGTGTAAAATGAACCCTTAGATTGGCATTTTGCTAGTACTTATGTACCTTTTATACCAGCAAACATATGTACTCTTCAAGATGGTTAGTTGGAAAAAAACTGGGATTGGTGGCTGCGCCAAGTTTTTTTTTTTTTTTTTTTTTTTTTTTTGAGACGGAGTCTTGCTCTGTCGCCCAGGCTGGAGTGCAGTGGCGCGATCTCGGCTCACTGCAAGCTCCACCTCCCGGGTTCACGCCATTCTCCTGCCTCAGCCTCCCGAGTATCTGGGACTACAGGCGCCCACAACCGCGCCCGGCTAATTTTTTGTATTTTTAGTAGAGACGGGGTTTCACCGTGGTCTCGATCTCCTGACCTTGTGATCCGCCCGCCTCGGCCTCCCAAAGTGCTGGGATTACAGGCGTGAGCCACCGCGCCCGGCTGCGCTATGTTTTTTGATCATTGAACTGTGTTGTGTGGGATGGGGCATTGCAACAATGTTGGTGTCCAGTTTTTTTTTTTTTTTTGAGACGGAGTCTCGCTCTGTCTCCCAGGCTGGAGTGCTGTGGCGCGATCTCCGCTCACTGCAAGCTCGGTCGCCTCCCAGATTCACGCCATTCTCCTGCCTCAGCCTCCCGAGAAGCTGGGACTACAAGTGCCCGCCACCACGCCTGGCTAATTTTTTTGTATTTTTTAGTAGAGACGGGGTTTCACCGTGTTCGCCAGGATGGTCTTGATCTCCTGACCTCGTGATCCACCCGCCTCAGCCTCCCGAAGTGCTGGGATTACAGGCGTGAGTCACCGTGCCCGGCCTTTTTTTTTTTTTTTTTTTTTAACCCACATGCTGCTTCTGTTCTGTGGTCTACAGAGAGAGAAAGTCATTGCTGGGGATCAGTGTTTGGGCTAGTTAGCACATCTTTCTGGAGGGGGAGAAAAAACTCTTGACTCCTTGTGATGCAAGGTAAAGTTAAATTTTATAACTCATGTTTGAACTTCTTACATTTATAAGAAACCTGGTGATGGTGAATCTAGTGTTTTCTACTTTTTCTTCCAGGAATTCCTGCCCCTAGAGGAGTGTTACTTTATGGTCCTCCAGGTACTGGAAAAACAATGATCGCCAGGGCTGTTGCTAATGAAGTTGGAGCCTATGTTTCTGTAATTAATGGTCCTGAAATTATAAGCAAGTAAGTACATGTTTTAATAGAGTAAACAATATATTTCTAAAACATGGTTTTTAGAAATGATTGTGTGGTGTTCTGTCTGATATTTTGTACATTGAAATATTTTGCTTCTTAATAATTGTTTGGAAAATAATTTTTGAAACTAATTTTAAGTATGACAAAGCTTTAAAAACAATAAGAAATGGTCTTTAAATACATTTTATTTGTTATAGATTCTATGGTGAGACTGAAGCAAAGTTACGTCAGATATTTGCTGAAGCCACTCTACGGTACTTTTTATTTTTAAATGTTTTGGAATTAATAATCAAGGCTATATTAGTCAAAGTGAGATACTAGCGCCTTATACAAAGCATAAACAGTAGTACAAAAATAATAGTGATAGTAGTAGAAATAGATTATAGATCTAATGAAATTCTCTTTCTATCTAATCTTTAAAAGTTTGATAAATGTTATTAAATTACATAAAGTAGAAGAATTAAGACATAGTGCTTGATAAATCATGTGACCTTGTTTGAGCATAGAAATCCATGACTTTCTTTGGGTGCTTAGGTGTATCTAATATGTTTAGTTTTTCTAGTAGACTGTATTATTGTAGCTCTTTATATTAGAACTTCGTTATGTTATACTTTGCTTCAAAGGGACAAATCTTTTGCCCATTAAATAATGACTCTGGCTGGATGTGGTGGCTCATGCCTGTAATACCATCTCTTTGGGAGGCCAAGGCAGGAGGATTGCTTGAGCCTAGGAGTTTGAGACCAGCCTGGGTAGCATAGTGGGACCCTGTCTGAAATTGGCTGGGCACGGTGGCTCACACCTATAATCCCAGTACTTTGGGAGGCCGAGGCAGGCAGATCACTTGAGGTCAGGAGTTTGGAGTCCAGCCTGGCCAACATGGTGAAACCCTGTCTCTACTAAAAATACAAAAATTAGCCAGGTGTGGTGGCAAGTGCCTGTAATCTCAGCTACTCGGGAGGCTGAGGCAGGAGAATCTCTTGAACCCGGGAGGCAGAGGTTGCAGTGAGCCTTGATTGTGCCATCACACTCCAGCCTGGGGGACAAGAGCGAGACTTTGTCTCAGAAAAAATAAATAAAAATAATTAGCTGGGCATAGTAGCACATGCCTGTAGTCCCACCTACTAAGGAAGCTGAGGCAGGAGGATCACTGAACCTGGGAGATCAAGGCTGTAGTGAGCCATGATTTCACCGCTGCACTCCAGCCTGGGCAACACAGACCCCATCTCAAAAACAAACAAACAAACAAAAGCAAAACAGTGGTAGAGACATAGCTATATTACGAGTGATGTTAACGTTACGTTTGACTAAGTTATAGACCAATATCCTAATACTCATTACAGTGTAACAATGAAACCTAAATTCCTGAACTCAAGTGATCCTCCCCCTATAGCCTCCCAAATAGCTGGAACTATAGGTGAGCACTACCATGTGCAACTAATTTTTGTATTTTTTTTTTTTTTCTAGCAACAGGATCTTGCTATGTTGGTCAGGCTGGTCTTGAACTCCTGGGCTCAAGCCATTCTCCTGCCTCAGCCTCCCAAAATGCTGGCTGTTTTGGTGTTTAATATCATAATTACTGCTCTTGAATCAAAAAACTCGCCATTTTTGAAGTTTATTTTTCCCCCAATGATAGTAGATGAAATAAGCTGTTTGTAGTCCTAGTACTGTATTGAAAATTTTAAAACTAGTGGTACACCTGATTGTTTAGTATGCTTTTGCTGTTGCTGTGTTCATGGCAGTTGAGATTTCCTTCTGTGAGAGAATTCACATCTGTTTATGGGAGAATTGATCATCTTGCAAGTTTTTATTTTAATGGTTTAAAAATAACAGGGCATTTCTAGTTTATGTCCTTTGGTTTCAAACCTGCTCCAAGGGATAGCATCTCTGGCCTCAGCTTCTGAATTTGATCCAGTCATAACAACTTAATGGGCATTACTGGGGAGAGTTCTGGGCATTACTGGGAGAGTTCTTAAGAGACTCTCATCTCTTAAGCAGCATACTCTACTCAATTACCCAGCCTTTTAATGGAAGGCAGATAGAATAGAATATGAAGTTAGTGAGTTGGTATTTTGGGCTAGAATGAATCTAAGGTTTTTTAGCTGAACATTATAATATCTTTATGGTATTAAGTAAATTCTAAATTTGATATGTTGCATTTCAGTTAAAAAATTAAAACTAAGTAAAACTTAAAATCAAATACAGATGAGAGATTTCATTTTACTTGTTTGTTTTTAGACACCCGTCAATTATTTTTATTGATGAGCTGGATGCACTTTGTCCAAAAAGAGAGGGGGCCCAGAATGAAGTGGAAAAAAGAGTTGTGGCTTCACTCTTAACACTGATGGATGGCATTGGTTCAGTAAGTATAGCACTAGTATTGATTCTGTGTAGGATTAATTCTTAATACATGTGTAGTGGCAAAAACTATTGAATGTGTCAGTGTCTTTGGATATTTTAGGATAAAGGAAAAATATTGGCCATAGTAACTAGGGGAAAGATCTGTAAAATAATTTGTTTTAGTAGATTACTTAGTAACTGCTAGGACAACATCATAACCTGGCAGGTTTTTTCTAGCATATAAAATACTATACCATGATGGATTTATTTTGTGATAAATGCTATTAGCTTTAAAACTTGAAGCAAAGATCAGTAAGGAAGATTTAGCAGTTAAATTTTAGGGGATTTTATTTTATTGTTTATTATTATTATTTTTTGAGATTGAGTCTTGCCCTGTTATTCAGACTGGAGTGCAGTGGTGCACTCTCAGCTCACTGCAACCTCCGCCTTCCGGGTTCAAGCGATTCTCCTGCCTCAGCCTCCTGAGTAGCTGGGACTACAGGCATGCACCATCACACCTGGCTAATTTTTAAAAATCTTTTTAGTAGAGATGGGGTTTCACCATGTTGGCCAGGCTGGTCTCGAACTCCTGACCTCGTGATCTGCCCGCCTCGGCCTCCCAAAGTGCTGGGATTACAGGCGTGAGCCACTACATCTGGCCTGAGGGGTTTTTATTAAGAAATGTCATGAGTAAGTCTTATTACCCATGTACAAATGGACTCTTTCAAGGCTTTGTACTAGGGAAATGAAAAAAAGTGAGAATAATGGAAAACGTTTTGTACAACATTTAAAAAGAACTTATTCATATTACCAGATTCTCTGATAGGGGATACATTTTTTATTAATAAAAACTATATGCTAATTATGGCAGGAACATTCATAGGACTAACAATAGGCATGAACAAAAATTTTCTAAGACTCCTGATATCCATTAATTAGAAAAATACACTTTTTATGCTAGATTGTGAATAAGTTTTTAGAATCATAATATGTTAGAACCACAATAAATTTTAGAAATTATGTAGTATCAAGTCTCTTTTGCACATTAAAAAACTGGTCATTTAGAACTTTTTGTTTTTACTGCCTAGTGGCAGAAAGTAGACATGTGAAAATAATATAAAGGTTTGGCATCAAGTCACTTATATACTAACGTGTTAAAAATTTTAAGTCTGTAAGAGAAGGGTTGTTACCTGGTGAAGGCTGCCTGACCAACTGGTTCGCAGTCCTGGAACAGTACCTAGGAGTGATTGTCATGTCCCAGGTTTGATTCTCAGGTTATAAAGTTGGAGAATTCAGTGTTATTAGTATGTTGGAGATGATAGAGTTGTGAGGACAGACTGACCCATGATAATAACACTTACAAGGGAATGATGTATAAAATAGGATGCTAGTTTGTCCATTTATAGTCAGAGATGTGACTATTAAGCAGACCAGATATTTGTGTTTATGGATGACCATATTTTCACCTTGATGGCAAATATAGAGAGCTGTCTTATAATTACAAGGGTTCTTGGTAAGTAGGAAATCAGATGAAAGACTTAGTGTTGGAGAATCTTAATTATTTCAATCTGCTGTCTTTCTCTGCCACTGGGATAAGCCTGTTGTGGATTAGCGTTCTTGCCTTTGGGCAAGGAATGGAAACATGTGATGCTGATGTTTTAGTCTGAATATATTTAAGGGTCTGTTTTTGTACTTCTAAACTTATAATTCATAGATTCACTGTAGTCCATGCATTGTCTGTTGGCACATTCAGTATAATTGATTAGGTTTGAGCTTTAAAAAAATTTTTTTAACATAAATTGTGTTCCAGTTATGCTTGTCTCTGGGTCATCTGAATAGAATATTGGATAATTTCTACAGGTGGCTGATCACGATCATAGTTCTTTATTATTTGTTTTTCCTAATTTCATTTTCAGAGAGTAAAAATACCTATATATTCAAGGGTGGCTGATACTTGGATATTGGTTATATTGTTGTCTCTATTTTCAGGAATTTAAAAATGTATCCATATTAAAAAAAACAGTCTATAAGCAAAGACTTTTTAGATAACTTTCTATTAGAATCTTGTTCTATTTGAGTATTATATGTGTCACAATCCTGACTTCCAAGTAGGACTATTTAAAACAATTAAAACAATTATATGGTACAGTATTATATATGTGTTATTTTTTATGAGAATGATACAGTTAGATGCGAGAAGTAAGAGATGTCATGGTAGATGGAGAGGTAAGTATTGGAAAACTTTCTACAGGAGGAAGCATTTAGGCTGAACATTGAAAATGTATAATAAAAGTAATAAATGTATAATAAAAATCTATTACTAATAAAAGTAATTGACAGGTAATGAAAGTGTAAGAAATAGGACTTAGTAGCTTGGACAGTTAGATGATTCATCCTTGTCTATACAGCCAGTGTGCGCCTCCCGCTTTTTTTTTCTAACTTTCGGAAAAATAAGAAATTTATTTTCATTTTATTTTGTTAGGAAGTAAGTGAAGGACAAGTGTTGGTTCTTGGGGCCACAAATCGCCCTCATGCCTTGGATGCTGCTCTCCGAAGACCTGGGCGATTTGATAAAGAGATTGAGATTGGAGTTCCCAATGCTCAGGACCGGCTAGATATTCTCCAGAAACTGCTTCGAAGGGTACCCCATTTGCTCACTGAGGCTGAGCTGCTGCAGCTGGCAAATAGTGCTCATGGATACGTTGGAGCAGACTTGAAAATCTTGTGTAATGAAGCGGGTGAGTGTGGTTTGCTATGGTGAGTCTATATTGATGCACTTATCTCCAGTTTATTTACATACAAATAATTTATATTTTTACTGATTTCTTAATGGAAATAGCTTTGTTTCTAATTATAAAATGTGTAATTTTTATTTGAAAAAAATATTGTTGGAAAAACCTAGATGATTCAGAAAATTATTAAAAAGAAATAAAAATCACTCAATCCTACCTCTAAAGGATAACCACCATTATAGTGTATACAGTCAGCCCTCCATATCCTTGGGCTCAGCATCTGAGGATTCAGCCAGCTGTGGTCTGAAAGTATTCAGAAACAAAAAAAGTTAAAACAGTAAAAAATATATAAAAATTTAAAAAATATAGTATCATAACTAAGTTGACCCTTGAACTATGAAGGCTTGAACTGCATGGGTCCGCTTATATATGAATATTTTTCAATAAATATGTTGGAAAATTTTTTGAAGATTTGGAACAATTTGAAAAAGCTTTTTCTTTAGCTTTGTTGTAAGAATATAGTATATTCTTGCATAAAAAATATGGTTAATCAGCTGTTTATGTTATTGGCAAGGCTTCAGGTCAACAGTAGGCTATTAGTAGTTAGGTTTTGGGGGAGTCAGAAGTTATGCATAGTTTTTCGACTGCACAGGGATTGGTGTCCCTGACCCTCAAGTTGTTCAGGGATAAACTGTATTTACATAGCATTTACATGGGATCAGGTAAAAGTAATCTAGAGATTATTTAAATTATATGGGAGGATGTGTGTAGTCTATATGCAAATACTATGCCATTAACTGGCTTGAGCAGTCCTTAGATTTTGGTATCTTACTCCATCGATACTAAGGGATGACTATATCCTACTAGACTTATCCAAAGTATACACACACATACACACACACACACATGCATGGACATATAATCAGATCAGTTGGTGGCAGTATTGATGATGACAATATTTATTGATATATTGTGCTGTGCTGTGGAAATCAGGGAGAAGTGTAAACTGGAGAATCACAATTTTCCTTAAAATTGAGTATCATGCCGGACCCCTGTTAACTTCAGTAGGGATGGTACCAAGTTTGAGAGGCCAAAAAAGAGGCCCAGAGCCAATAAATGAAACTTAGGGCTTATTTGGCGGAACTTACTTACAAGGTGGTCCAGTGGTGGTGGGCTGGACAGGAGAACTGCAATCACTTGCAAAAAGCATGTAGCTTGTATAGCATTTTCACTTAGCATCCTCCCCCCAGCAACTTCCACATGGCAACCTCCTTTCTTAAGTTGTTGCTTTCAGTTGCATCTGCCATACACTCTGCACTAGCATACCCTTGTGTGGCCCTCACATTCTTATGCCATTCTGTCATGATATCCCTGGGGCCAGGTATGTGGAGGAGCATTACAGTCAGATGCTGCAGCAGCAATATAAACTACAACAAAAAAGAATAACAAATATAATAACAATCATACTTCATAGAAAGTTTTTCAAGGACTTGGGAGTTGATTAAAGCAGGTGGTTATAGGATTTTAAGACTTAGATTCTGTGGTGGAAATATGGGTATTTAAGGCCTGCATGGCCTGGGTTACATCGTCAGAGTCATCAGGAATACATACACAACAGGTTTTAATTAATCTATAGGTTCCGCCCTTGTGGGGGAAGTTAAGATGTCCAGGGCCATGCGATTTTACAAAGAAGGGTGCATGACACACTCTTTCTGTCTGCACTGCTGTCATCCACTCTAGCCCATCATCGTGTACAGCCTACCTACAGTGGGAGTGACATTAACTTGCTCCCTTACCAGGCGGAAAATATGCCATCTCATGTCGGTGGTGGGAAACTTGCTACATGAGGTGCTGTTGACACTGAAGGGAAATGGGTGAAGGTCACTACACCAAGTGTCGAAGTGGCCCCAGGCACTCATGTTAGCTGCCTCGGTGTGGCATGGCAGGCCCACAGTGGAGGAGAGAGGGAGCTCTCTGCAGACCCAGCAGTCTCTTCTCTTCTGGAGAGAGAGAACCATCTTCACCCAGTCCGCAGAGAGGTTTGTGGCACACCATCTATGGGCAAAAGGTGAGATGGTTAGTGGGTATAAGAAAGGACAAGTCCTGGCCATTTAACAAGACATGGGGAGTTGTGTCATTCTGAGAGAGCACCACCCCTGTCAGCAGCCTGATGCCTGGTTTACAACACCAAATGGACTGGCCCCCCTCTGTAATGTGTTGCAGGAGGCCAGAGGAAGACAGTGGAGGTATAATGTTTCATGAGAGGATGTTCATCCCCTTGCACAAGGGAGGACTAGGATTCATTATTTTAGAATTACAGCGGAGAGTATGGTATAAAATAGGTGTGACCTATGTATCCTGTTCTAGGCCATTCCACCATGGAGCAGAAAAACTGAACCATCGGGCTGGGATTGCCATTTCCCAGAACCATGTAATGATGTGCTCCCCAGTAGGTCGGTCCTGTGGCAAGGGCAATAGCAAGTTACTTTGCATCCCAGGTTGGGGGCAAAGGTGTGCTGTTCCTTATCCTATCTACCTGGATCCTGATGGTGGTATCACATCCTTGTGTTAGAAGAGTATACACGATGGGGTGATGAGAATGTGCATGTTCATTCAGGTTGTGCACAGCTGCTGGTAAGCGGTGTGTCCACAGAGCCAATTCCTATAGGAGTTGTTTCAACAGTCCATTCATTTGTTCAGTCAGCCCCACTGCTGTAGGGTTGTATGGCAGGTGGAAATGCCAGTGGATATCTGGGGCCTCTGCCTATTCCTGTACTTTATATCTGGTAAAGTACGAGCCCTGGTCATTGTTAATTTGTTTTTTTTTTTTTTTTGAGATGGAGTTTTACTCTTGTTGCCCAGACTGGAGCACAATGTTGCCATCTTGGCTCACTGCAACCTCCACCTCCCAAGTTCAAGCAATTCTCCTGCCTCAGCCTCCTGAGTAGCTGGAATTACAGGTGTGCACCACCACGCCTGGCTAATTTTTAGTAGAGACGGGTTTCACCATGTTGGGCAGGCTGGTATCAAACTCCTGACCTCAGGTGATCTACCCGCCTCGCCCTCCCAAAGTGCTGGGATTACAGGCATGAGCCACTGCGCCTGGCCCATTGTTAATATTGATGGAGACTCTGTAGGCTGCACAAATCTGTTCTGGTCCTTTTATGGTGGTGTGCTTGCTGGGATATACTCGCAGTAGCCCTGTGCAGGTTTCTGCACAAGTTAAGGCACAGTGGCAGCCGTCCAATAGGGGCAAAGATCCTATGTAGTCTACCTGCCACCGTTGTGCTGGGCTCTGGCCCCGGGTGATCTTTCTGGTATGAGGTGGCAAGGGCCTGCGGTGTTCCTGTGCGACAGGTAAGACATTGCTGACAGATGTGTATTGTGTCTTTGTATCATAGTGGCAGCTCCAATTCTTTGCTATGGCCCAAAGGGTAAGTTGTCCCCTATGTCCTGTCTTCTTTCGTAACCAGTTGACCACATCGTCTGTGGGGACTCCCTTGAGGAGATGAATGCAGGTTAATTTGTCTGCCTGTTGATTTCCAGGTGGTGTAGATGCAGTGTGGGAATCCACATGGTAGATCATTTTATGCATCCCCCGGATGCAATGGGGAATGTCCTTCTACATGTCAGTACCCCAAAGGAGGTGACCTGCTACTGTCTAGTCCTGTGCTTCCCATTGTAGTAGCCACATGTTGAGTCCCTTTACATTGGATTAGGTAAAAGTAATCTAGAGATTATTTAAATTATATTGGAGGATGTACATAGGCTACATGCAAATACTATGCCATTTTATATAAGAGGCTTGAGCTGTCCTTAGATTTTGGTATCTCAGGGGTTGTGGAACCAATACCCCATAGATACTAAGGGATGACTATATCCTATCAGACTTTTCCAAAGAACACACACACACACACGCACACACACATACACACACACACGTAATCAGATGCATTGGTGGCAGTATTGATGAAGACAATATTTACTGATACATCGTGCTGTGGAAATCAGGAAGAAGTGTGTGCTGGAGAATCACAATTTTCCTTAAGGAATGTCATGCCGGATGCCTGTTAACTTCAGACAACCCACATGTGGGTACACAGGACTGTTGGGTCTGGCTTATAGAGGAGGACCATCCTGGCAGCTTGTAGCCCAGCTCATTGGCTGCTATGTCCTTGGTCTATATCCATCCAGATACTGTCAGTGGATGGCTGGATGGCCATGCCTGTTGAAGTGCAAGGATTGCCTCATGACAAGATGTTTGTGTACCAGGCCTGGTCAGACATTGGGCCCTGTCCGTCCTGTATGAAGGAGAGCATCTAGTGAGGCTCAGCAGCTTCCCCTAAAGACTATGTGACAGTTGTTACATAGATGACAGGGCCAAGCACCGAATGGATCTCTGAGCTTAAGGGGCTATTAATGTGCTCCTCTGTTGCAGGTATGCATGCCATTTGGCCACAGTCTGTGTCTCGGCATTCCCAGACTTCAGTTTCTGGAAGATACCCTTTAGCCAACCCGCTTTGGGGTACTGGGTGCGTACTAGCATTGGGATCCCCTTTGTAATGTCCTCTACTTGTTGTAAGGCATGATGTATAGCACAGAGTTGTTGTTCCATCACACTATGTCTAACTTCACCCCTTTTCCGTAGCTGGGACCAGAATCCTAAAGGCCTGTCTTTGCCTTTGCCACAAGCCTCACCCAACCCCCCCAGGGTAACTGGCTACATCTGGTTCACAAGGCTGTCTGCACCTGAACTCCCAAGGCTTGTATTTATTTCACTGTGACTTCAGCTGGTTCAAAGTCCTCATCCTCCTTCGTGGATTAGTCTCAGTGGGCCCCCTTCTTGACTAAACAGTATAGGGGTCTAAGGAGTTGGGCCAAATGGGGAATAAAACGATGCCCATACCCTAGGAGTGCTAAGAAGGTTTATAGCTGCTTTGGTGTCACAGGATGTGAATAGGCCTGTACCCTATCCATAATGGCAGACTCAAGTATTTGGCTGATAA